GTGAAGAGGAAGAAGAGGCAGAGAGTCAATCTAAACAAGACAGAAAGGGAGAAGGAGACGGAGGTGGGTGATGTTAGAGGCATGAAACACTCTAAAGCAACAGTTCACCCTCATTGTTTACTATTACTATTTTTTTATTATTATCCTATACTTTGATTATCATTTTTTTGTTCTTCTTCTTTATTTTTTTGTTTCTTTGATAACTTTACTTGCTGTGCAGTACTTTAAGTCAAATTTACTTGATCCGATCCTTCTAGATCATAGGTGTCAAACTCTGGCCCGCATTCTTTTATCTGGAGGAAGTTTTTTTTTTCAATAAATATTAATGTTAGCCCGCGACTTTGTTCCAGTTTTGAATTTTGGCCAACTGTGTATTTGAGTTTGACACCCCTGTTCTAGATCATTTTGTCTGGGTTTGGAAGTACCAGCTAAGGAGATGTCCACCTTGTCTTAAACTGTACCACAATCACCTTGAAGGCTCAAAGTGCCAAGAAAAAAAAAGTTTTTCTCCAAAACTAGAACCTCACATCAAAACAATCATAAACAGCATTGCAGGCTGGAGGAAAACTATGTTTTTTGGGGTAAACTGACCCGTTAAGAATATAATTGGTATTTGAAATATAGCAAAACTTACACTGGATTATCAGTGACGAGAGGAATGAGTATCAGACTGACCAGCAGTCCCGCCAGATTCACTAAAGTCTCCTAAAGGAAAACACAGAGATGATGATGTTATGATGGCTTTACAGATTTGCTACAAATTACCTGAAATGTTGCTGTTATTATTAATCAAACGTGCTTTACCTGGTTTAACTTAAAACTACCATTAAAGGGCTTTTTGTGCTTCTTTCTTGTGCCACACCAAAATATTGTATACAGAATATATCATTTTCTAATTACCATCACATTAAGTTTCCATCCTGGTACATTTGACAGATTGAAAACATGTAGACAATGAACAGTGTAAAACTGCTCACATTGGTTAGCTTGATGATACACAGTGTGATGAAAGTAGGAAGTGGCAGCTACCTGACTGCCGTCTTTGGCAGAGATGTCAGCCATGTTGTCTCTGCGGGCCTGATGAACAGTGAGAGCCGCTCTGGTCGCACCACCTGCCACTCCAACAATAGACTGGAGAAGACAAACACAAATGGATGACATGCAAGATAACGCAACGTAACGTTTTATACTTTTTCTGCATCCTTGCACCTGGGGTGTCCTTGGTCAGCTAGACAGGAATTTCATTTTTATATCACCTATTTAGCAATGGGAATAGCCTTTTAAATTGTGGTGTACATTAAATAATTTTGATCGGAATTAACCTGTTTTTTGTTTGTTTGTTTGTTACCTTGAATATCCCTGCAGTGCACACAATGAAGGTGAAGCAAGCAGGAAAGTAAGGAGCCAATATTTCCATGAACATGGCAATGTCATTGAGCACATCAGCAAAAAGTCTAATTGGGAATTAGAAAACAAACAAAACTCAAATGGGTTTCCTGTGGTGACTGGAATGACTTGTCTTACACATTTATCACATACCTCCACTTTTTTGCTTCGGAGTCCAGCTTACTCCTGGAAAAAGACGAAGAAACTTACTTTGAACATAATTTCTATCAGAACAAAAGCCAATTCTAAAAGCCAGTGTTGTATCTATATGAGAAAAGACTGGCAAATGGCATTGAAGGAAATACTGATAGAATCACTTCCTTAAATTTCCTTAAAGCACTGAATTTTATGCACTTTAAAAAAATTTATCATCAGTGGCCACAGTTGTAGAATCTAAAGTATTTGCTTTTGCACACTGGGTTAGATCTTCTCATATAAGCCTTACCCTTTCCGCCAAGCGAAGAGGATTCTTCCCAACATGCCAGTCCCATCTGCAGGGAGACACATTTGTTTGTTATCGAAACACCAGTGAGGTCAGCACGAGCTGTGCAGGGTTAATGTAAATGTACAGTATTTTTCCACCTTTTAATAACCAGGTAACAGTGGCTGCAGCTACGGTGGCCTCCTGGTTTCCAACACCAACACCTCTGAGGGAAGCCTGAGTGGCGAGAGTCCCTGACAGAGAGCTGGAGAAGGCCTGAGAGAGGAGGAAGAGCGTTACTGAAGGGGTTTAATGTCACAGATATGTAACTATCCCTGTTGTATTACCCACTGTACCTGCATTGTATCCCAGAACTGGTACTGCAGATAATCATCACTCACACTCTCTGGATAACCTTGAGGCAGAAAGACGCTCTGAAAGCAAAAGTTCAAACTTCAGGTTGATGTTTGCAGTTAGCGTAAGCACAATTAAGTTCACTTGTGCCTTACTTTAAAAACTCCAAAAACCGAGTTTCCTCCTGAGTGACCTTCACTCCCATCTCTTCTCCTCTCCATCACTCCATCTTTTGATACATACTTCCAGGATTCTGCACTGCCATATCTCTCTGTTGCCAAAACCACACCTTTGTCCGTCTCCATTTATACTTTTAAGAGCGATAGTCGGAGGGATGTAAACGATTTTTTAAACAAACTGAGTAATTCTGCGGCTTCAGATCCACTGGAATGCATTTAATTCAAGCCCAGCTAAAAGTGGACTGTAGCGTGACAGAGCCGACGTGTCTTGTTTTGTTTTGATTTGTGAAGTTTCCGGGTTTGCTTCCGCACTCACAGTTTCCCGATCACTCATTGGTGGATTAGAAGTTCAAGGCGGAGCCCCAAAGGAGACGCTCAAATGACGTCAAAGAAACTGCTTTTTACGGTCTTCTTGGCGGAACAATAAATATTTTTCATAACCATGTGTCAGTTAACATGAATGAACTCAGATGATAAAAAACAAATACTGTCAAATAAAACACAAAAAGCGTACACAAGCAGGATAAATAAATAAAATATAAATAATAAATAAAAATAAAAATGTGATACCAACATTGCAATGCACATTCATTTAAGACAATATCTACAGTTTCTTTCCCCTAAATTTCACCAACCTTATTTCATACAGCTCATGCAATGAACTTCACATAATTTAACCATTTTTCCATTCTTTAACTTCCAGGTGATTTAAAATTAAAGATAAAAGTATAAACACAATACATACAGTTAAATAAATAAATAGAAATGGTTCACCCTGTCTTGGTATGGCACTTGCTTTTTCTCTCTCCCTCATTACTGTTCTACCTTTCTCTCCCATCTGTGCAAGTGAATGGTGATTAACCAGTCCTTTACAGCAGTGGATGTGGTGTCTGATAACCCAGAGCAAGCACACCTGCTGTACACCTGAGTGATCATCCTCAGTATTTAAATTCAGAGTGCTGCTCAGGACTGGATTGTTAAACTGTTTTTGTGGTACTGTTATTTAGGGGGTTTAGTGCAATTATGAACTGTTTGCTTGGGTTTAACCTGTGAGACACTCACCTGCCTTTCATTTCCTGTGTTCCTCTCTGGAGAACCTGGACTAATCCACGTACCTGCCTTGTCCATTCCCCCTTTTACCAGCTGGAAAATAACCTGCCTAATGGAAGCCAAGCCCAATCACAGTACTTTGCAAAGACAGGAAGTTGGTGGGAGGTTTTTCTGGTCCTTACTGGGGAGTTAACCCACATTCTGAGGAAACAAACTTCACTGCTGCAGAAAGCAGTAATCAAAATTTTGTACCTAAGCACCATTTGTTTAATTACGAATGTTTTTTTCAACCAGTTTATTAACCAGCTAATTCTTCCAGTTGTTTATCTTGCAAACCCACCTGTGCTCTGCTGTGTTTACTCCTGTTTTACTGGTATTAAAGTCGAGTCAAGATACTCAGACTACCACAAACATTATAGCTGTGACACTTTGTAAAATTGATTTAATTCAATTTCATTTATGTGGTGCCAAATATAATAACAGCTGCCTCAAGGTACTTTATACTGCAAGGTAATGAACTCACAATAACACAGAGAAAATCCCATCAATCAAATGACCCCCTTTCACCAAACACTTGGCAACAGTGAGAAGGGAAAAGTCCCTTTTAACAAGAAGCAACCTCTAGCAGAACTAGGTTTGGGGAGGGGTGACCATCTGCTGTGACAGATTGGGGGTGAGGGAAGAGAAACAGGACAAAAGACAGACTGTGGAGGAGATCCAGAGTTTAATATTAACTAATGATTAAATGCAGAATTAAATGCAGGTGTGTAAACACACAGTGAAGAAGAAACAGTAATGCATCATTGGAAGCCCTCAGTAGCCTAAGCCAATTCTAAGGCAAGAATCAGGGTCACCTGATCCAGCCCTAACTATATGCTTTATCAAAAAGGACATTTGTAAGCCTAATATAATTCAACCTGCGGATGTAAGAAAGACATGCTTTATGTGAAGCACAGAAGTTAAACTGATAAAGAAATAATTCAATAAGAAACTAATCAGCAGTAGACCAGTAAAAATGTTGAAGCCAAAGCGTGTCTAGTGTTCGTAAAGACCTGGGTTCATAGTTCATCATTTTTATGAGCATGCCAGAGAGCTACTGGAATATAAAATCCTGTATTAAAACTTTAAAAGTTTTAATACAGGATGGAAAGTGATTTATAAAACTTTGGATGCAGAAGTACATATAGATAAATATATTTTTTCAATTATAAATAAATAGTTATAGAAGTTACATAGTTAAATATTTACCTATAATTTTGCAAGCTGTGGCTTTAGTTGTTCAAGGTAGTTTCTTAAGATTCCTGTAAGCAGTGCATTGCAATCATCCAGCAAACTAGAGATACACGGATGAGTTATTCAGTTACATGATAACTGCTGAATCTT